GCCGTGCGTCGGTGCCAAGCTGCTGGAGCGCTGCAAGAGCTTGGACACGAAGGCGTGGTCTGGCTGCCGCCGCCCCGGCCTCCGCCGTGCTGATAGGTGTTCGGCAAAATATCCGCCGTTCCTCGGAGAACAATTCCAGAAAGATGTCGTGGACGGGGTCCACGGGTCAGCCCGAGGGAGCTATGACACCGGGGCCAGCGCGTGCGCGTGCGTGCTGAGGGTGGGCAGTGAAAGTGCATGCAGTCATTGCGAAGATTCGATGCGAGAGCCAAGCCAATCATCAGCTATGACGCTGGTGCACACGGTCGTTGCGACACGGTGCGAAAGCACATATCAACAATAATAACGATGGGAACCGCTCATGCGAGAAGGCGGGCAGTGAAATTGCACGCAATCGTTGCGAGAAAGCAGAGCGGAAGCCAATCATCAGCTACAACGCTGGGATTCGCGCAAGGCCGACGGCGTGCAGCGACATAGCAGTCATCGGGGCGAGAGCCAATCATCAGCTCCAGCGTTTGTATCAGCCTGGCCCTGCGAGAAGACAGGCGGCGAAAGCGGGCTATAGCGCTGGCGTGGACGGCGAAGCTGGAGCCCGACGGCAGCAGCTGGATGTGGAGCCAGCGCGCGACGTCGGCAGCTGCAGTGCTGACATCAGGGCGTGCGAGAAGGGGCAACGGCGGCAGGCGGTACTGGCACCACCCAGCGACAAGCTGGCGGCGAAGCTGGAGCCCGAGATCGTCAGAGACAACGCTGGCAGCAGCGCGTACGAGAAGATCGGGCAGTTGCAACAGGCTCTGGCGCTACTCGCCGAAATGAGGAGAGCGAAGCTAGAGCCCAATCTCATCTGCCACCACGTTGGTATGCCAGTGCGCGAGAAGAAGCAGCGACTGGCGGCTCCTCCAGCATCTTGAGAAACGCGGCAGGCTAAGCTGGAGCCCAAAGTCGTCAACCGCTGCATGTGAGAGCCGGCGCGTGCGAGGGCATACGCCATCAGCTACAACGCTGAAGCGCAAAGATGTGAGCACGACGAGCGGCGCAGTACGCCGGAAGCGAAACCGAGGGAATCCAAACCCTGGCCGCCGTCTCCGGCGCCGAAGGGAGCCTGGCAAAGCTGGGGCCAGAGATCATCAGCTACGGTGAGGGGCTCAGGGCGCGGAAGGCCAGCTGGGGAAGGCGAAGCCAGCACCCGATGTCAGCTACAATGCGTGAGCGAAGGTGGAGGCCGAAGTCGTGTGAGAAGGGCGAGCAGCGGCAGCCATCACGGTCGCCACTTTGCGCGATGAGGAAGGCGAAGCTGGAGCCCGATGTCAGCTACAGTGCTGGAATCAGGGTGGCAGAAGACGGTCATCTGCTACAACACTGGTGCTGGCCACAATTTCAGGGATAGTAGCTGGAACCAACGCCCTCAGCTACAGAGCGCAAGGCTAGCAAGACAGGCCAATTTGAGGCCGTCTTCATCGCCCATGATGGGCCTGGGGGTAGGCGATCTCCACACCGTCGGCCCTGGAGTCGTGCTCACTGTAAGGCTGGTCAGGCCAGTCGAATCCCAGTCAAATTCTTTTCCTCCTCCTCCTCATCATTGCCGTCGTCGCCAGCAACACCACCAACATCACAACCATCATCATCACCATCAGCAGCAGCATCATCACCACCATCATCATCAGCAGCATCAGCATCGACGTCATCAACATCCTCATCATCACCATCATCACCATCACCACCACCATCATCATCATCATCATCAGCAGCAGCATCACCCTCATCATCATCAGCATCAACATCATCATCATCATCATCATCATCACCATCACCATCATCATCATCATCATCATCATCATCATCATCATCATCATCATCATCATCAACGTCACCATCACCATAGTCCTCCTCCTTTTTTCTCATTCTCCTCATCTCCTCCTCAACATCGCCGCCACCAACGCCGTCATCATCATCACCATCACCATCACCATCACCATTACCATCACCATCACCATCACCATCACCATCATCATCATCATCATCATCATCATCATCATCATCATCATCATCATCATCATCATCATCGGCATCATCATCATCACCAGCAGCATCATCACCATCGCCATCATCACCATCATCCTCATGCTAATCACCATCCTCATCACCAACATCATCGCCACGACCTCCACCGTCATCCTCACCCTCATCGCCAGCATCATCACCCTCGCCCCAATCCTCATCGCCATCCTCACCCTCATGACCACCACCGCCAACAACAAAAACACGCCCGCCACATCGCCCAACCTCGGCGAGCTCGTCGGGCGGGACTCAAACGGGGACTCCACTAACGGGTACTTTGGCCAGTGACCCAGCGAACCCAACCCCTCCCGGTGTGGGCAACGCTGCAATGTCAGAAAAAGGCCCTAAAATGGCAACTTTCGGCGAAATTTCAAAGCACCCGTTAGTAAGTACCCGTTGCGGTGCCGTTGAGCTCGAGCCTCGCGCTTCCCCCCCGGGGCTC